TAAACTTTCTCCAATGAATCCTTGGATTGAAGAGTATAACAAATGGGATTCTGTTATCTTTGTTCTACTGGGGTTGTTTTAGAGTATCCGAACGTGGGATTCTAGTAGCTTTCTTGATAGCATAAGTTATAACATTACTTTTGTAACCACGTTTGCGCAAATAGGTGCGTAGTTCATCTAAACGTTTGTTAAGCAATACGGGTAATAATATCTGACGATGAAAACAATGTTAGTGTCGCTTTTGTTTAACTACTTTAATAAACTCCCTCAAAAATAAACGATGAGGAAATATGTGTAACATTGGATATCTGTAGTCTCTATAGCGATATCGCACACAATTTGTACCTGGAGGCAGTCAGTTATTGGATAGATAGATTTACCCCGCTTCGAAATCCCCGTTTTTCAAAAAAAATTATTTTAAAAGCTATCGATATTATTCTCAGGAATAATACTTTCGAATTTGGAAAACGTAATTCTATACAAATTAAAGGCTATGCTATGGGTTCCATGTGTTCACCAGACCTTTTTTTTAGTAACCTCGTTATGCGCTTTTTAGAAGAAAGATTTATATAAAATAACTGAAAACACGTTTGGTACTAACTATAGAAACTACATCGAAGAGAAATTTAAAAGATATTTAGACGATATATTCTTTATATTTTAACTTTTAATTGACCTAGATATTAATAATAAATTCACTATTGAAACTAGTTATAAGTAAATTTTTTTTTAGATGTACTCGTTAAGAGACTTAACAATCGAATCGTATGAAATTTAGTCATGTCACCCTCGTCATGTTAAAAATGATATACCCCTTTCTCTTGCCAGAATACTATGCATTATAATTTTAGACGAAGATCTCAGAATTCGGCGACATGATGAATTGAGATCCAATTTGTTGAAATTTTTTTTATCCACTTGGGGTTATTATTGAAAAAGGTAGGGGCCTAACTACTGAAGCATTAGGAATGTCAAAAGAGAAGAATATCTCTACTTTATTTCGACATACTCCTCGACAAAATAATTTTACATATTTATAATGTTGTTCTTTCTAATGATAATCTTAATAATCAATTTCATGGCATAGAATTGAATAATAGTAAACGTTCCCCCCCCCCTACCCTTAAAGAATTACTCACAATCTCAAGCTTCTACTCTAGTAATGGACCTTTTTCTACTTCTAAGCGCCATAGCCCACTTTGTAAATGTTGCCACCATACGAGAGAGAGAAATGGGGTTTAACGTCCACTTGACACAAACTATGTCATTTCGGGACTAACACATATTTCAATTTTATTTCTATGCGCGTAGGGGTCTTTAGCAATGAGAGGAAACCAAAGGACCCGGAGAAAACCCACGAGATTGGACAGGAGACCCTACTTCTTGTCACGTAGAACCGAGAAACGAAACCACGCTAGTTGACTCAATGACAGACCTTATGATACAGCGCGCACGCTCTAACCATTCGACCATCCAACACCCCGTGCCACCATATGATTATTAATACTAAATTCGCTTTTTCTAATACCAATTATACCTTCAGAATCAATGATAAAATGAACTGTAGCACTAAAATTTAATTTATGTTATTTGTGCAACCAATGTAAAAAAGATTACATAAGGGAATGCGGTACTGAACTACGCGCACGCATCAGAGTACGTGTACATGGGCAACAGAATTTATAAACTAATCCTTTTTTGAAAGTCTCTACACACTTAAATACTTGTGCTAAGAATTTAAATATTAAATTTAGTATTTTTCCTTTTTATAGAGACGGAATATGGAAACATTGACCGGTTCTTACCAGACTTAAATGCTTAATTTGCCCCCTTCCCACCGTCTTAATACTCAAATGATATTTAAATAAATCTATCTTAATATATGTTTTACACGATTTCTTCGACACTGTATAAGGAGATTTTAAACCCTAATTCTTTAGTTTTCTATTATCGTTTTATTAGAGAATAAAATTGATATAAATTCTAATGAAAAGTTAAGTTTTTAGCCAAATAACATTTATTGATCTATTGACATTCAATTCATCTCAATACTTCTGTATTGTACTATTGTCAGATTATACCAGCAACACTTCTGTATTTTACCATTGTCAAATTATACCAGGAAGACTATGTGAATAAATGAAAGGTGAAGTTTTATAGACACGGCCATGAGTTCAATAACAAGCTTGTGAGTGTCGATGAGATAGATAGCCTGTCGTGTCAAGGACTCTTTTACGTGCACGCCAATGTGTATTTTTGTTTAATTTAATTGTATTTTAATATAATGACTAGACACTGTAATGGGTTCGATCACAAGCTTGAAAGTGATGATGAAAAAAATAGCCTGCCAAAGACTCTTTTACGTGCACGCCAATGTGTATCTTTGTTTAATTTAATTTTATTTTAATACAATGATAAAAAAAAAAAAAATACATTTACATTTTATATGAAACATACAACGAAAAACAAATCTCGATCAAGAAATTTCGAAATGCAAATCTCCAAACACCAATCTTGCAAAACCAATGTTAAAGAACATTTCTCTGGCGATTTTACAAATGTGAAAGAACTGCTTTTAAAAACACATTCAAAATATAATTTTATCATAAAGATCCTTGCTATGGTTGAAGACTCGAGGTTAATGCCACTAATTATTTCTCCATTGATCTCAATGTTAATTACACGTCATATCGGACCTGTAACATATCCTGGACATTCCAATTTTTCTAGCACCAAAGAGCCTAATATATCCCGATTATCTTATCAAAATTTTGAAGCGTGGTGACTGGTTCGATTTTTTAGTGCGCGCGGTCTAATGGACATCTACTGGAAACTTTATTTTTTATATAGGATATATTACCCAAGTAGACTTTTGTTTACCGTTGATTAAACCACATTTCATCATTGGGAGTTGGGGGGGGGGGGGGGGTCACGGTGGCTAAGTAGGTAGGAAGGTGGCTCGCTAGCCTGGAGGTCGGGTGTTCGATCCCTGCAATGGTCGAGAAAGTTCATCCAGATTTTCCATTGTGTTCCTCCCTTGTCCGTGATGCAGGAAGGACGCCCTGACAAGGACAGCTGTCTAATCGTTCGAATGAGACAAAAAAAAATACGAGGTCCCGTGTAGACATTGGCATGTAGGTAAAAGATCCCTTGACAGTTGGAATTCGATATACGTAGTGCCGCTGCCCAGGTAAAATTTCCCTCATAGCACACTGTATGGCGTATGCCCGTCTTCATTAGCCCAGTTCGGGGCAGGACAGTAGGACGTTAAACCCCATTTCATTTCATTTCATTTCATCATATTTTGAAATGTTGTGTATTACTATTAGAGTGGTTTCCCTTTAATTACTTCAGGTTTCGTACTTGACTCTCCACACTTTACCATATTGTGTAATATTCATTATACTTAGGAAGTCCACTTTCTATCATTTGTCTAAGGTTAATGCTGCAGTTTGTTTATGTTCATGCTTGATCGGGAGGACGAGGTTATCTTTAATTGCAGAATTATGTTAGTTTTGGATAATAATAAGGTAATATGTGATTGAATTGTTAGATATTTGGTCATATTTGGCTAGACTTTCAGACGCCTGAGCTATCGGGTACTGATACTATAAATAGACTTTTCAAGTTTATCGTAAAAAAATTGCTACTTCCGCGAATTATTTCATTTTTATGTATATATAATTGAAGTATTATGTTAGTTTTTCACAATAATAAGTTAGTTTGTGGTGGTATTGACAGTATGTAATTAGTATTGGGTAGTGTGGGGTAGTATTGGGTAAATCGTGCTGTCGATCTTTAACAGGGAAGTGTTCGATCATTCGACCATTCAACCACCCCTCGTTGTCGGTTGATTCGAAGGGATTGTTTCTGGCGAAGATATGATAAGGAAATGAAATGAAATGAATTTGTGTTTAACGTCCTACTGGATATGATAAGGAAGATTCATAGACGTATTTTAACCGTTCTAGATGGTGACACACCTTTTTGGTGGTTGAATTCACCAATATAATGATAGTTGGACAAGTCTGGTCTTTTACTTTGTAATTTGTGATTTTTACTATAGATCGCATTTGTCCGTGTTAAACGGACCTGTATTCCGTTCTTACATACGTTTTTGATAACCAGGATTAACTAGTGTTTTCAGACGGCGCGAAAATACGCAGATAGTAGCTAAAAAGCTTCTTTCAGTCATCGCATGTCAGACTAGAAATTATTCCGGGCATTTTTCAGACAATCACCGGACCAGTGATTTCCCGCTTAAATCACGCTACACTGTCGATAGATGACGTGTTTATTGCCTGCTGATGTGAAATATTATAACCTCCGACCTCTGTTATAAACTGCATGGCACCACAATCAACGCAAATACGAAATTCTGTAATGCCAGTATGATTTGATTCCATCTCAGAAGCTAGTTTATTGACGTCTGCAGAATCTTCAACCCCAATCATTCTGATGTTCACAGCCAGTCAAAGATATATAAAAACCAATACAGTCTTTATTATCTCAGTCGGAGCATATCAGTAGGACGTTAAACCCCATCTCATTTCATTTAAAAACCAACAATGTCGATAGAAAAAAGCGAATCACACACACACGGGCTTAAATTAAATTGCAAAATTGCATGTACAACGTGTTTGTTTGTTTTTTTTTTGTTTTTTTTTGGGGGGGGGGAGGGATTTGGAACTGAAATGTTTATTTTGATTCGATTTGGGGGCTCAAATATAGAATGACAACTATTGTAACTGGTCGAGCAGGATGTCAGAATGTTCAGGGAAGTTACTCCAATTCTTTTATATCATTTGCTGAACTCATAAACACGACCCTAAGCTTGGGCAAAATAAAAGTGGGGGCGGGGGACAATTTTACAATTCTCATTGGATAATATTATTACGCACTTGCTTAAACTGGTCCAGATCGCAAAAAAGAAATCCCCACCCCACCCCACCCCAATATTCCTAAGACTTCATTATGTCTTGAATAAAAAGAGAAACCAGGAAAGAAACATGAATTTTATTTATATACAAAAGTGCAAGCAATAATAATACATATTCCATGACACTCATTAATATTCATCCGTCTTCATAAATATTCATTAACCTAACTGTAATTAAGTTTGCCACTTATCAACTAATAAAAAACAAAACAACGTGAGAAATATTTGTAATTTTGATACAGTAAATCTGGGGACATGTGACGCAAACACATTTAGTTCTGAAGATAGGGCGCGTTTGATTAATCCGCATCCAAATCTGGTGGTCGGTGGCTTTAATTTTAATAAACTAGCAGACATATTTAAGAAATTTCATTACAATAGAATATTTACACTAGTTACAAAAGAAAATTGACACCATTACCGGCTGTGTGATTATATTGTATTTCGCGGGTGTTGTTTTCACGTGCTGCATATATATAATAATATATAATTAAACTATTATAAACATATATACATGTACAAATAAATCACAGTAAATCACTAAAATATATCATATCATAAAATAAGTTGAACAAAATACGCCTTGTTTTACGATAACCTTATGTTAACCATAAGATAAAGATGCAAGTATATACAGTGTTAATAATTTATAACAATAACATATTTATGCATAATGTCTAACCATAACGATACGAGGGGTATATCTAATCATAACGTTACGAGGAGTATATCGAATCATAAAGTTACGAGGAGTATATCTAACCATGACGTTGCGGGGAGTATATCTAACTATAACGTTTCCAGAAGCATATCTAACCATAAGAGTACGCTTAACATTATGAGGAGTACCCTTCACGTTACACGGAGTATATCTAACCATAACGTTACTAGGAGTACATGTATATCTAATCATAACGTTACTAGGAGTATATTTGATCATAACGCTACGAGGAGCATACCTAACCATAACCTTACGAGCAAAATATCTAACATTAACGTTACGAGGAGTATACGAGAAGTATATAGAAATTAATGTTACGAGGAGTACCGCTAATGTTCCGAGAAGATAACAATAACGTTACGATTAGCATATAACGAGTAGCAGACCTAACCATACATTTACGAGGAGTACTCATACCCTTAACGTTTCAAGAAATCTCATAAAGTTACGAGGATTATATCTATTCATAATGTTTCGAGGTTTATATAACAACATGGTATGTCTTTATGATGTTCATATCAAATAATAACGTTACGATGTTTATACCTAACCATAATGTTACGATTTTCCTATATTTACTGTATATACATGTCTTGCAATAAGTTACGATGACCCTACTTAACCTTTTAATTGATATCCAGTGTCTATGTTTTACCATACCTATGCGGTTTTTATAACCTTTACGATGTTTAAATCTAACCACAATGTTACGCTGGTTGTAACTTCCCATAGCGTTACGACTTTATACCGAATCATATTGCAATAAAGTCTATGCCTTACCATAACGTCAGCATGTTCATAAATAACGATAAATTTTATGTTTAACCATATTATTACAGTGTCTCTGTCATACCATAACGTTACGATGCTTACAATTAACCATGACATAACGATGTTTACATTTAACCATAACATAGCGATGTTTACATTTAACCATAATGTAAAATATAAGATAGCGATGTTTACATTTAACCGTAAGGTAAACCATAACGTAGCGATATTTACATCTATAATAATAAGGTATCGATGTTTACATTTAACCATAAGATAAAATATAAGATAGCAATGTTTACATCTAACCGTAAGGTAAACCATAACGTAGCCATGTTTAATCTAAACATAATGTGGCAACTCTATCGAATTATATAGTTTTACGGCATCGGTACCTTAACATAATTCCACAATGTTTATATCTAACTATAACCTTACGCTGTTTAAACATAACTATAACCCTATGCTGTTTAATACATAACCACACATAAAGGTAGGATGTTTAAACATAAGATTATTTTACGCTGGCTGGTGACGTTATAACATATCACAGTGTTTCATTTCATCATTTCAAATTCACTACGGTTTCCATTGCGACAGTTTTCAAATATTGCCAAAATCACAACTCAATGAGAAACAGAATATACTGCCCCTTTCTACCACCAGGAGTGGGTTATGTTTAATCTTTGCTTTGAACATCTGATAACGTTGTTATAATGAAAATATCGACTTTTGCACCGGATTTCAAATTATCCGCGCCCCGTCCATATCACCCCATTTGTTTATTACATTCTACATTTGGGCTACCGTTGGAGGTCGATTGAATTTCTCTTAAATATTAACCAGAATCGTCCAAGACTTTAACTACTGTGTTCTCCAAAATTTACTTTGTATATTTTTACTGCAAGGGAATCATTTTGTATGTCTTTCGTCCACCATGATCCGTTTTGTGGGTGTTTTGATAATTTCCGCCCCGACCCGTTTATCTCCCCTGACCCGAGCCGTTTTGCTGATGTAGAGCATAATTATATACATGCCAACCTCGTTTTTCCGAACTAAGGAATTAAAATTATGTGTACACAATAAGGATAGATTCACTCAAACTAATTATAATATGTGCCTAAATTCCATATGTACAATCAAAATACTGATAGTAAATTTCACATCACATAAGCAACTTTGTCTTTAGGTGTGTTTTCTTTTCTCGCATTTCGATTTACACACGAATTCTAAATTATAGAGTTCCCTCCCCTGCTTAATTACAATAACATTAATTTGTGTTCCATATGTGGCCCGATCCCACGAAACCAGGCGCTTATCGCCCAACTTCATTTTAGACTACGGGCACAAAAGCATAAACTGTATGCCTTCTTGTTGCTGTGAACGAGCCGAACTCAACTCCAGATGATACGACAAATTAAAAACAATTGCATTTTTGGAAAGCTTAGTCTGCGGACTATTCAAATAAGCTGCCAGCTCTTTTTTTTTTTTTTTATAAAAATGACCAAGAGCCTGGTTTTGTGGGAGCACTCACATATTACCACGCAAATATGTACGCACGTGTGTCTTTTTGTGCAAAGCATACAACTTGTACAAAACACAACTATCTTCTCACTTAAACAAGAAACAAATATTGTATCTTAGAATGAGGATTTAATACACAAAGCTAGTCGAAACTTTCAATCCTGATTTAGCATACAATGTTAATATTCAATTATTTTCCTCCAAATATAATTAGATTATCTATTCTACTAACATTGCATATTGTCATCTGGAGATATACTATTTTACTGGGCTGGAAAATTAAAATTAAAGAACTAAATGACATAATAAGCGGCATTCCTCCAATTTATTTATTTATTTATTTATTTATTTTTCCAAGAGGCATATCATACATGACAATATAGATGATCATATGAAGCTACATGATAATAAGATGAGAAAGTTTTGATGAGAGAAAAAGTAATGATGTCATGGATGACCAGCCTCTTGAGGATAACCCATAAAAACCTGCTTAAAATAAAACTAGGTTTTATTTATAAACAGTTTATTAGGTGATCTGTTCATTATATCTCAAGGTATACTATGTTTAATGGGCATGATAAATAACATAAAGAACTAGATGATACAATAAGCGATCGGCTATTAAATAACACTACACTGAATATGCGCACGTAGTAAATCCGGTGGTGGTGGTGTGTGTGTGTGTGTGGGGGGGGGGGGGGGTCAAAGACGAACAGTCCAGAAAGGGAAAGGCAGAGTCGTTGACTATCTAAATAATAGTGAAATAGCATCAACCGTCAGTGAAAGAGTAAGCATTCATAATGTCAGACACTATAGGATTTTATAATGAAAGAAGTTGGGCCTCGTCAAGTATTTCTCGAGGTATATGCTTTTTAGAATCTAATTATCGAAGATATATATCTCTAAATCTTTAGATTTATACTAATCTGTAGGAGTAAGGTCTGACCAACGTCGTAGATTTTCTCTGGGTCCCCAGGTTTCCTCACTCTGCTAAAGATCCCTACACGCAACAAATTATTGATAGTACATGTATGTGTCATGTGGACGTTAACCTCTCTCTAACCCACGATCGCTCACGCCAGGAATGGTGCCCACGACCAAAAGATGAAGGTGGCCCATCAGCTAAAGCTTATCTTGTCTGTTCTGTTCTATAGCGGACTGAAAGGATAGTCATTGGTTAAATTTAAATCCACTAATGTCAGTTCAACTGAAAGCGAACAGTCTGTGGGGATAGGCTTAAGGCATGCATGCATGAATGGAATGGGGTTTAACGTCCTAACTTTCGGTACCAGCCGCCCTAATGAAGAAGGGTATGATAATGGACAGTGCTTATACTGGTATGAAGTTACTCTATGTGATATAGCGAGCCCAAAGATTTGTTATTGGTTATTGGTTAATGTCAGTTCAACTGAGGATAGGGTTAGGGTTAGGGGGGGTATGATAATGGAAATACTTAATACTGTTATGAAGTTGCTCTATGTTATATAGCGAGCCTAAAGATTTGTTATTGGTTAAAGCCACTAATGTCCGTTCAACTGAACGCGAGCTGTCTGTGAGGATAGGGGAGTATGATAATGGACAGTGCCAATACTGGTATGAAGTTGTTCTATGTGATATAGCGAGCCTAAAGATTTGTTATTGGTTAAATCTACTAATGTCAGTTCAACTGAATGCGAGCTGTCTGTGGGGATGGGGGGGGGGGGGGTACGATAATGGACAATACTTAAACTGTTATGAAGTTGCTCTATGTTATGTCTGTATTATTAACTAACAATTTAGGGTACAGTATGATGCTAGATCTAATTTATGCTTTGTAAGGGTAGTGTCATTCATAAAGATATAATATAACTATATGCTACAATAAACAAGAAAGCCATATTTAACCCCATTTACAGGTGCAGTAATTGACATTTAATGTGACACCAATCTTCATAAATTATGCAATAAATTGTGATTAAATATTCACTTGTTCATATATTAGTATAGTTCATAATATTCATTGTGTTGATCTTCACCACATCTTAGACGGCCATGTTGGGTCGTGAGATACCAGCGATATGATCTCTGTAAAACACGCTGGTATTAGTTCTTTTATATAATATATAGTTTACTTTGTTCGTCGGTTTTGGCAACAAGAAAAAAACAAATGGTTAACATTCATCATTTTGAACGGCAGCCTACATCAGTTCAGGAAACCATTATAGGGGGACTGGTTACATTAGACATTGAATAATAATAACTAATAAAAAAAACCATTCACGTTTTGAACCCTGCATCGGCTTAGGATACCATTATTGGTTATTGGTAACTGGATTTAATAATAATAATAATAATAATATCTTTCCTTGAAGTTTCTGTGTGCTCTTTAATAAAAATCAGCTGGTGCTTATTCATATCACTCACATAAAAAAGGGGTTAATCTATACACAATTATTTAATAAGTTATTTCAATGCATATTAGTAGTATTCCAGTAGTATTGTAGATGTAAATACCGTACTGTCATTGTCATCACATTCTAGAAGGCCTGGTACTACCTCAGTTTTGCTTCGGGAGTTCGTATACAGGTAGCTAACATATATCCAATTTATCAATGGTAGTCCATTATCATTATAAAAGTTCTTATTCTTATAAGCAAAGATGTCGTACCACTACATATATTCACAATACGGGGAAACGCCCCCACCCACCCTCTCTGTGCATTTGATATCTGTACGCTTGTATAAAAAAGTAAACATTTTATATCACTATTTTTATACTCCAAGAAAATGTTTCTTCTCCAATCCTCCAACAACCGCAACTATAATTACCAGGCCTACATATAATCATTAGGCCTACATATAATTACTAGGCCTACATATAATCACTAGGCCAAAATATAATCACTAGGCCTACATATAATCATTGGGCCTACATATAATTACTAGGCCAAAATATAATCACTAGGCCTACATATAATTACCAGGCCTACATTTAATCATTAGGCCTATATATAATCACTAGGCCTACATATATTCACCAGACCTACATATCATCACTGTGATTTCCAGCATATAGTAATTTGTTCTTTTTCATCACGTCATTATATTATTCTAGGAGACGTTTCTGAACCCAGCGAATCATCTTTAAATAATACCACTACGAAACGCCTCACCCCCCCCACCCCCCGTTACAGCAGGATCGTTTTGTCAGTAAATATAGTCAAAATGAAATGTTCCATTCCCACCCGCTTACAACATCATCGTAAGTCTGTAAATAGAGTCATTATCAACCGCTTCATCACATCTATAGTTGGTGTTATTGCATAATATAATAAGCCCAGTAACAGATGATGAACAGTATAAATATGGCGGGAAATAGGATGCGTGATGCCACATCCAAATACATAGCATATACAACGCCTCTTTTGATTGGTTTAGGTGTAGAATATGGATCACGTGGTTCCAATGGTAGGCTAACCTATAATAAAGAGATAAATGAATTTTAAAGTCGGTCAGAGTTATTAACAGATTTTAGATAGAAGGTAGACAGACTGTATACACGCTTTCAGATATCTAAAATCCTTTCAACATAATCTTTCACGGCTATGTCTGACAACCAGATGGCAATCATAGTGTTCTAATAATGTGTAATGGTAATGGATGGTAATGGCCATGTAATGAGTAACTGAAGGTTTCAAAATTGAAGAGGAATGGAAAATGTACAAAATTTGTAATTTCGTAAATTTACAAAACTTGAAATTTCGGAAATTTACAAAACTTGAAATCTCGTAAATTTACAAAACTTGAAATTTCGAAAAAAAATTTGAAAAAAACCCCCCAACCCCTAAGCGAATCGGAAATGTACCAAACTTGAAATTTCGTAAATGTACCAAAATTAAAATTTCGTAAATGTACCAAAATTGAAATTTCGTAAATGTACAAAAAATGAAATTTCATAATGTACAAAAATAAAAATCGTAAATGTACAAAAATTGAAATTTCATAAATGTGGATTTAAGATTGTACGAGTATGTAACTAAAACGCCCCGAGGCTCTATACAGCTGAGGGAAGTACCGCATATCCAAATTATTGCCTTACCTCACCATTCTCAATATCCTTTGGAATTGAAAAAACACCCCTAAGCGAAAACTCGTTTAGGTCATCCTTTCTACTTATAACATTCACTACCGCGAACTCAAGAAGCGCTGCAAACACAAATACAAGGCAAGTCGACATCCACACGTCGATCGCCTTGGTATACGAAACACGTGGTAAGGAGTTGTTGACACCTGTACTCTGTGTCGTCATAGTTAGAACGGTTAAAACACCCAATGAGATTCGACCAGGAACCGAGTTGACTGTTAACCAGAATGAGATCCAAGAAAGCATCACAATTAAAACGCTGGGTATATACATCTGTACCACATAGTATCCTATATTCCGCTCAAGGTAAACATTAGCTTGTAGACAACTCTGATTACCTGCAAATATAAATTATTTATCATGCTTAAAGATGCATTATGTAAAATTTAAATAAAGAGCTGTCCGTTCTTTGTATAATATTTAAAAAAACGGATAAAGAAAAATGAATATAAAGAAAATTTCATTCAAATTACTTTATACAGAGCGAAGTTATCAGTGTTTGAAGATGTAGCGTAAATTGTTTATTTTAGTAGTAACGCCATCGACAATCGAGATTATGCCAAGATTATTAATTTTTAAATTAAATTATTAAATGACAATATAAGTCGCGGCCATCCGATGATCTAGAGAGTTGATTACGCTTGTCATGTTAAATAATAAAGACTTGCAATAAGCACATTTAGCTCTTACATCTTGCTTATTTAAGCACAACACATGGGAAACTATATCCATAGAGTTAGAAGCGTCAATCTGGTTATTTCAAGACAACCATCTTACTTCAAAACAAATTTATTACATTGGTACACATCCGAACTTCGTATGGAAGATACTTACCAGTGCGATGGTAAGTGCGACGACATCTTTCAGGTCCACTATCAATAACTTCAAACTGAGGTAATTCCACGCGTTTATTTATAGAAACAGCTTCAGTATTGGTATTTGATTGGTTCATCCATTCTAACTGTAATTTATCTACCGTGTATCCAACTAAAAGAGATAAAAAAAAAATATCTACAATCCTTCATAATACGTAATGCCCTTTAAATTAGGAAAACTTGGCTATGGCAGTGGTCGGTTAGCTCTAATGACTTCCATTAAGGTAATTCCGCATTTTATATTACTTTTGGCTACACGCTACTTTCAATTGGCAAGTTAACTAACACAGTAATAAGGCTAAACTGAGACTTGACATAATAGTGTGTGAGAGTCAACAAAACGAGAATCAGTGCCTACGATTCATGATTCTCAGTTTTGAAATGAAATAAAATGTGGTTTAACGTTGTACGTTTCTTAAAAGACCGATCAATGAAGACGGAAAACTCCATGCAGTGGACTATGATGGACAGTTTCCTTCTACTCTTCATCAGATTCCATCTGCTAAAGGTTATTTTACGTGCAAGCTTACGTGTACGCAGGAATGTGGTTTGTCGATCCACCCGAACGACTAGACAGTTGTTCTTTGCTAGGTCCTACGCCCTGCACCTCTGACAAGAGAAAACCAGGCTGGAAAATCCAGAGGAACCTGGATGCGAAGAACCTAGAATGAATACTTACAGCTCATTATTTCCACACTACAAGTTTGTTTATCAAAAGGATAATTTCTGAGGTTCATTGGACAACTTAATGTCATCGATAATCTGAAATTAAAAAATACATATACTGTATTATATTATTTTCTTTGGCTTTGAGAATCAGAACAAAGGGACGCATTTATATTATTTTGTCGACACAGCCTTTTAAGTTTGGAACTTTTCGGTGATAGGGTTCTGTTGTTAAAGCAAAGAGGATGTTGACGATTGCACAAAGGACAAAGGGAGACGTTTCAATATGGTGTCATATTAGAGTGGTGTAGTGGTGCTTTAAGGAAATTCTCTAATGCAGTGAAATTGTTAATTTTCACCTTCAAATTACAAATTAATTTCGTTTGCTTCTACTAAGGTAATGTTATAAAAAAAGACTGATTAACGGTTTCATTTATTTTTGCTGTTATTTCTAGACTGATTATAATATTATTGTGGACGGAATCCGAGGTAAGACAGGAGAATTAAAGCCGTGTTACCGATCATCGCCTATAGCTTTACCCGATATATATCTATGTATGAAACGTGACCAATATAAATGATTTGCCTCTTTAATTGACTATTAATTCACATTTAGTTCATTTCTAGAGTCTCTAGTTAATTGATTAGTAAGCTTGAATACATCAGACCTAATAATGGCTGCTTACACAAACTTGGTCTGTTTGTTCTGGGATACTTGCCATAGAAATAGACACATAGTGTTTGTAAAGGCAATGTTGACGTGACAGAAGCTGAAAATGTCCATTTCACGATAATCTCCACAGGGACGATCGTTTACTATCAGTAATATGTTCGGTAATCATAATAATCTGAAAGGTGTACATCTTGGCGAAAATAAAAGTAGCAAATATATGCTCGTTCACAATGCTCAGATGTCGTGTTCTTGAAACCGTATCATTTCGAGACCAATGAGAGTGGAACTGTTCACAATGCAATGCCAATGAAATGTGGTTTAACGTCCTTCTTTTCTGCACCAACCGGGATAACGAAGATAGGCGTGCGTCATGCAGTGTACTATGACGGAAAATATGCTCGGACAGCAATTGAATTATATCTGTCAAGTTTAGTGTCCTATTTATGTGTACTCCAAACTGTATAACTGACCCCAGTTTTCCGTCCGATTCGAACGACTAGACAATATCCATTGTCAAACCCTCTGTCCTGTGTCTCTGACAAGGGTAAGCCAAGCTGTATAATCACGGGGCTCTTTCTCGGCCAACACCGAAATCGAACCTTAGAGGCCCTGGTTACTCACTGAGCTACCGTGACTTTCGAATCGTGATATATACAATATTTACTTACCGTGATATATACAGTATTTACTCACCGTGATATATACAATATTTTGCCTGAGGGATAAAGACGCATCATTTGATTAGCCATCATTACGTCATGGAAAGAAGCTTTCTTTTCATTGGGGAAGAAAATATCTGGAACCCATATTCGTTTACTATTGGTTGAATCTATTTCCAGGAAGGAAAGGTTTCCGAAGAGTTGCTGGAAGTTGTATGGAACTAACCTACTGTCCGTCCATTGTAGATGCAACAGTATGCTCACGGTAAAATCCTGGAATATAAGAAAAACCTAGTGAAATAGAAACCCCAAATATATGTAGTTTACCAGACAACGAAGCACAGTCCACAACCACTGCACCAGCACTGTACTTGTAGAGCGATTATAACGTAGGAAATTCATTGGGTCTTGATTTTGTTTCAGTCATGGTGTTCCGTATTGTCTGAACACCTATTTCAAGACCTACTTCAGGTAATTAATTGGTTTCAGCAGGTGTTAGGTTATTAATCGTTGGCTTCATTCACAGGCGACATTTTTGTAGGAACCAAACCAATTAGATCTAATTATTTTACAGCAGAGGGACCGGTTATTTGTTAATATGAAAAGCGTTTGAAAAATATATGAATGTAGCTATATGGGTGCATTAAATACAAAGTTAGGACACAAGTTCTCTTTTTAAAAAAAACCCCCAAAAAACCCTTTGCACTGAATATAAGAAAGAATTAATGCAAATGATGCGATCGGTCTGCCGGATGAGATATTAAAAAGCATAAACTATCAGCGTCGTCCATTGGGAGTTTCATTAATTGAAAGTTGAAAGAAAAAAAATCCGAGTAATCAGAAAATGTAATCAACAATTAATTGTATGCTTTTATCCTGTATACATCTGAACTACCCACGATCCGCAACAAATTGTATTAGCTAATTATCAACTCCCTGAAGGGCCCAATTGTATGAAAGGTCGTGCATGTCACCATCTTCTAGATTAATGGTGACGGCATGCGGCGTGTAAAATAGAACTCTTGCTTCTGAAAACAGCTAGTCGTTACATGAGAAGATATCTCTAGGGACAGTCGTTAAGGAGTGGGTGTCCGATCAACTAGCCGCTCCTCATACATCTTTATTTCTATTAAAGAAACCGTACCCATACATTTTATATGTGTGTGTATGGCCCGGTGTGGGGAATGGGGCCAACTATCGATTCAAATGTCGTGGATTCGATCTCAAGTGACAAGAGTCGCCGTGTTCTCCAATCTGCATGTATCTATTTGATACATACAGCAATACTACAAACTTTTGTTAGCTTTGCGAAATCATCAATCTAGAATTGGTATCAAAAGTTTTAAGCTCACCCAGCCTCGTATACGATACCCGTTACTACTTATAGCTAACCAGAAGAATAGTTTGGATCTGGATTGACCAGGGGTCAAAGTCCACGAGCAGACTCACCACTAGATTGGCTTAAATACAACGGTATATCGATTGGACATATATAATTACAATACATTTTAGTGCTTCGAAAGCCAGCGATAAGTGGTATAAAGTGTTTCAGAAAGAGTAAGCATGTCGTGCCGAATGTACAACACCCGTCACTACTTAAGGTTAACCGAAAAATGGCTGGAATCTAGATTTCAGATTACATCCTGTCTACTCTTGTGATAGCTCCTTTAAAACCGATTACATCCTGGCAACTTATTGATTTTCAATTTGGGACAGTTCCTTAAAAACAATTACTTCATCGGTGCAGGACGGAGGGCTGACAAGGACATCAGTTGGGATTCGATATAAGATTATGCCATAGTGCCGCTGCCCGGGCAACATTTCCCCTCATCGCACCCCTTTTTATTTCAATCCATTTAAAAACCTATTACATCATACCCACTTATGGATTTTGGAACAGCTCCTTAAAAACCGCTTTACATCCTATACACTTGCTGATTTTGGGACAACTCCTTTAAAACCGAGTTTCTTTAATAATGTTAAGTGAATAACACTTTGTGTCAATTAATTCAGATATATTCTCCAGTGAATTGTGATATAATCATTTCTCTTCGTAATATAAGGGTTCAAGTTGCGTTTAATAATAATATCGTGTAGTCGAAGGGTGTAAATAACTAAAGTAGAAGGACTGAGTAACAGTTGAACTTGCTTTCATATTTGGCTATATCTTTAAACTGCTACCAGAAAACATTGTATTATGACTAAGTAAACTTTATATAGATAATATCGAGATCGTTATACGTTTCTAAACACATACAGTTAACTTTTCAAGTAAAGCGTCTTCATTAGCAGCGAAAGAGCAGAAAACCAAGACGTTAAAGGGCGTATAGCTCTATTATTTGGAACCACAAAATAGACGAAAATGGGCCCGCAAGCACATATTATTGTAATATGAAGTGATTTAAATATATATTCATTTAAAAAAAAATATTGTAAATACTAATCTGATCAAAACACAGATCCTATTTCGTTTCGTTTTTTTATAGTTCAAAATTTCGTTTTACTTGTCTTTACTACACTAGGATCTGGAAGACTTGTTATATTACTGGCGTTCTGGTTGAAGTGAGGGATTAGCCAATGAAACAGTCTGTTACGGCGATTCTTTGTGTGCGATGCACGGAACTGTGGGTAAACCACTAGTAACGTCAACGCTGATTGATTAATCTATGCCTTCGTCATAAGGTCAAAAGTCGCTTGTACGACCCCTGACGCGACCTTCCAGAACAACCGACCAGATCTTCATGTAGTGTAGGCCATCGAAAGTATAAAAAAAACGAAACGAAATATAGATCTGTATTTTAATCAGATTGGTGAAATACGTGAACGGTCAAAATTGAGCGGCAGTCGTTTACGCCTGCCTAGTCCATTTTATACATTTTTAAAAATTATTATTTTTAAGCCGTTACTAAAAACTTCCTCGTCTTGTAGGATATGTTCTTCTTTGTTCATTACAAATGGCTCTCGAAACCAAAGAATACACGACTTGTGTCCTAAATGTTAAATATTAGGATCATTTATTTTCACGACAATATTGATTGAAATGGAACAATAGTGAATTCTAATTGGTGTTATTACGTGTGCTAATATAGTATATATACGACTCGTATGTAATTATTTATAATTTAAACACTCGGAGACGTAGCATGTAAATCTCTTCATGCAATGGGGTCTGGTCGCCCCTATCGTGTACATATGCTTAAACTGTCAGAACGTGCCGTGGAAGATAACTCAAAATTCACGATCCAAAATGTTTGTAATCCGACAATGATCTTGCTTATAATAGGCAACTTCACTGAGTCTTAAAAATCGCTAAGTGGGTGGAAACATTCTTAATTTCGAATGTGTTCTTTTTAAAACTCTAATCAACAATCGCTGTAAGTTCGACGGACCAACATGACAATGAAATGAAATAGGGTTTAACGCCCTACTGTTCTGCCACGATTCGGCTATTGAAGACGGACATAAGCCCTACAGTGTACCATGAGGGAAACTTTGCTCGGATAGCGGCACTACGGCCTACTCTTATATTGAATTCCAATTGCCAATGGTTAGTTTACGTGCAGGCCAATGTGTTCACATGACCTCGGTTTTTCGCTCCATCCGAAAGACTATACACTGGCCCTTAACAGGTCCTCCGTCCTACACCACTGACACGGGGGGGGGGGGGCACGCCGGAAATACCCGATGAACTTCTCGACAAACACCATTATCGATCACGGGACCTCCAGGTTAGCGAGCCAACCCCGCGGCTCTATCATGTTTGGTTGAAATATAAATAATCGTAAATAATAGATATACTAACACATACAAACAAAAGCACATTTCTAGAAAAATAATTAAATAATACAATCCTTGTTTGTATTATCTAGGGGCATCACAGAATAGGTTATTACAATCTGACATTTCAATGTTTTATATAAAAATACATAGTGTTTTGTATATTAAAAAAAATGATTTATGGTGTTCTAACAATAATTCAAAGGATGTCTATCAATACAGCACAACTGTTCAATTAGACATAAAGCAAACATTGCATGAATGCGACAGCTTGAATAGCGAAATAACATATTTTATTGAATTGCGCGAATATATAACATAACTGATGTTGTTAAATTCATTCCATTGATTTCCCTGTAAGACGAATAACTATACAAACAAATTAACTATTGTCTAGAAGAATTCAATAAACTTGTATGAAGGTGTAACGCAGTGAAGAAAACTTTATATAAATTTCAATAGTATGCTTTGGGTGCCTCAAGGGATATATTTCACAATACTCCAACACAATGTCTTCCAATAAATTATAATCTTTCAATAGATATAATAGTGTATGGGTTATCCAATACTAAGAACCATAATGTTGCAATCTATCACTGGCAAGGGCTAATTGTTGTCGTCCGTTTGGCATTGCTATATTATGTACCTTCTGACATTACCACACTTGCGAATTTGACCCTTCAGCACTTAAACGCAGGCTGATATCATTATTCACCAATGCAAGTTTCGCTATCCAACGTTAGTGTGAACTGCACGGGAAGACACCTATGGTATAACGTCCATTCGACACAAACTAGGTCATTTCGGGACCAACATATGGTTCCAACATAATTCGGTTCAATTTTTTATTAAATAATTCACGAGGTTAGACAGGCGACCCTACTGTTAGTCACGTACAAGCGTTGCACTTGAATAAACGAAAAACAAGACAGCCATAGACAGCGTTCAAGCTTATCCAAAAGTAAATCTTGTGGCAAATAAGCTAAATTACGCTTAGTAAAGGGCCATACTTCAGGAGCAAAAATAGCGATTGGGCTTAAATTCAATCCCAATTGTCTACTGAAAAGTTTCTTTATTCGAAGGTATGAAATAGATTCGTCAAAAATGATGACGTCTAGAGAGCCGACAAGCAAAATTACGCTAATGAAAGGTCAAGAACTCGAAAAAAGCGACCGCGCTCAAATCCCAGATGTCGTAGACTCATAAGAATTATCCTAAAGTTTAAAAAAGATTCGCCAAAAATTGCGGCCTCTAATAGTAAGTGCAGGAGGACTGAACTACACGTAAAACAAAAATCTACAAGATAAACCTGTGGACAAGACAGAAAATAGACATTGCACTAATAAACAAATATCAAATCAAGTGAATGGATCCGGACAAGACAGGACAGGACAAGCAAACACGACGGACTGACGGACAGGGCAATTGCATTATACGCCTATATTATGTGTGAGCGTAGAAGAGGGCACTATTGTGATGCCAACAGCGTCTCTGATACGGATCTTATTTATCTTGGACCTTTACATAAGATTGTAAATAGCTAGTATTCTCTACCTTTACATAAGATTGTAAATAGCTAGTATTCTCTACCTGGAGCAATTTAGCTATTTTCTTATTTCCCACTTTCATGTGGTCCAGTAAGCAGGGCTTGACAAGAAAAACAGTTGAAAATTGAAATTGTTCCATAACACGCTGTCTTCATTACTGAGCTGGTCTGTATAGATTATACCACGTTAAATTATATCTGTTTAAAATCATATTAAGTAACAGAACAAGAAGCGCCGAAGGTCGCCATTTTCCGTGCGGCGGGTGATTTCTGTTGTTTAGGCTATTTATTACTTTTGTGCTCATAAATTTCCCGAATAAAATACAAAACTCGGCATTTGAAGGCACAATGGTGTCGAATGATCGTATGTTGCGTAATTTCAATGCCTTACAATACCGCGACAAGAGAACTTGAACTGGGTGTCTGGAACTAAATAACGCAGATAATTTTCATCATAATAACTCGGCAATCCGTGTAGATCCAGCAGCAGTCAGTAAAAAAGAAAACCAATATAGATAATTAATTTGAATTTTTTCAGAGAAACCGTTAGAAGCATACATATATTGGCTCTATAATAAATATTGACGGGTTGGGAATTTGGGACATTTAATTTCCGGCCTGGCTTCACCTCACTTCACGAATTGTAACACATTTAATACTTTTACCTAATGAAGCACCCTGGGGAATGGCTCATCCATTTACACAAGAATGCAAGAGTTTAGGGGGATAATTTTCTTTTTATAACGAAGATCTGAATCGATAAAACTGATATACGAGTAACATATTTTAAGGAACGGTTAGAGAATGATACGGTGTAACAATATTAACGATATCGCCTTGAAATATTTTTCCGCCTTCCCTAAATGGCGACTCAATGTACTCGATAATAAGAAGGATAAATGATAAAAAAAATCTCCTGAAAAAATATAACTGCAGTAGGTAGACCAAGTTCTCGAGTTCCCAGCCCATATTCAGTGATCTGTGGACGTTAACAAAATCAAATCTTATTTATCTTCTCTCTCCGATATAAGTATATAACGTATAATAAAATTTATCTAACAATTGCATCATGAGTTGAATTTTAATTAATATTATTTCGTGATTTTCCGAGCTAATTTTGTATCTGCTCAGAAATCGCGTTTTAAATTCTACATCGTTTACGTCCTTTACGTTTTTATTTGTTCTGTTACTATCTTGAATTGTCGATTAGAGGCCACGTTGATACCGTGACGTCGCTACATTACCGGGGTTTCCTTTGGAATGAAATTCTGTTTGCATTGAGTAAACATAGGACAGACCATAGTTCAAAAACAAACACGAAAGCATATTTTTGATGTAAATAAATCACATTAATTTGGAAATTACTATCGAAATGGGCTTTCTGGTTTCGTGCAGTCTGATAGTGTCAGGGTGCTCTTTTCTATACCGCGGATATATTCAAACACTACCCGATTGGAAGATATGTGGCTAAGTGGATCTGTGTTTGTTTCCTTTTAGAATGGACTCAATCTCATTAAGGGAAAACATTTATCTTCAAACAATAATTTCATCTGAAGATCACCGCGTTTATTGGGAGTTCATTCAAATTTCTAGACTTCGTTCAGAAATTTTGGTCTAGGCGAATTGTTGAATGACTGTAACACTGATCTTACCATGGTGGCTTCATTAATGGAATCAATACTATCCACATACAGCAACACTTCAATATTTGTAGATTTGTCTGAAACGAAACGAAAATATTTACCTATACATGGCATGGCCGTTAAACCAAGTTATAAATGTACAGTCTGAAATTTAACAGGAACGAAAATAGTTATAACTAACTATGTGACGGTTTAATTAAATTATCCCTTTCATAGGCGGACATTTTCAGCTTAGATTCAATTACATAAAAACATAAATGTTGTTTTGTGTCCAATTATACCTGTCATTCGGGACTCTTCGGTCGTAAACATCACTTTAATGACGTGCTGGGATTAAGAACGAGAAATGAATGAAACTATTTGGTGTCAAACTGAGATATCTCTGGAGTTCTCTCAACATGGTTTTAACTGGAATGGTCTTTATAGGTATTTTATTCTTTGTGTGTAGTAGATGTAATTTCGGGGGAATAATAATTCGTTTTATTTTGTTTTCATGCATGCCAGAAATAGGGAGAACTCCAAAGGATTTTTTTTTGTTGGGGGGGGGGGGGGGGGTAGCCGTGGTGGCTTGTCGAGTAAGGCGTTTGCTCACTAACTATTGAAATTTCAACGTGGCTTTCCTTGCCAATGGTGCTGGATGGGTGGCCGGGCAACTAACAGAGGCAAGTGGTTCGGACAAAGTGTAAGTAAGCGGAAACGCCACTATCCGGGCAAAGTTTCACTCATAGCCCACTGTTTGTCGTATACCCGTCCTCATAGTCCACTGCTTGTCGTGTACCCGTCCTCGTAGCCCACTGTCTGTCGTATGCCCGTACTCATAGCCCATGCCTGCCGTATGCCCATTCTCATTATCCCACTGCCTGTCCGTATGCCCAGTGCCTGTCGTATGCTGGTCCTTATAGCCCACTGCCTGCCACATGCCCATCCTCATACATGTAGTTCACTGACTGCCATATCCCCATCCTCGTAGCCCATGTCTGCCGTATGCCCCTCCTCATTATCCCAGTTGGTGCAGAAATGTAAGACATTAAACCCAATTTCATTCCATTTAAACATTTTTCTGTGATCTGAACGACGTTTATTTATTTCATTAACGTGGCTACAGCAATTGAATTTATATCTGCTATCTAGCCCCAGAGAGTTTTGTAGTGATGAAAGGATGAAATATCAAATAATACAGCCGATTTTGACATATCAGTTAGGTTAAGATGGTTGATGTCTATTTATAGTCCTTACTCGACTGTAAATGTAATTTATTTAAAACAGGAATCGGAGATTTTATTTCAACTTATCTAAAAGTTCTGGTTTACTAATATATGATAAAAAATATACACATATCGACAATCTAGATAAAAAAAATGCCTCTAACATCTGGTTGTCATGGTATCGCGGTGTAAATCAAATGCACTAAGTTTCAATATTAGAAACAGTTATTGGTACAGTTAACCCGCGAGTTGTGTTTCGTGTCAATCCAGGTAGTAAATCTTGCATGCATGCTAGTACCCGGGAGAAGGCAAGTATGAGCCTCCGTCGATCGTAAGCAGTCCCTTATTACCTTTCACCAACTCAGTATTGACCTCCGGTATTGAACCCCTGACCCCACAGGAAAGTGCACATGCATTGTATTTTAAAAAAAAATACCGAATTACCGAATTAATTTCAGAAAAGTGTATTTAAAGCTAATACGCTTATGTTAAAGGTATTTAAAGTCGTGTGGTCTTATAGAAGGGACGGCTATATATTATTGCTAATTTATTTTTGTTTTCTTTTAAAATCGTGTGCCTTTAAGAATTTCGCGCCATCTTTAAAGACTTTGCATAAGACTGAGAAACAACCTATCCACATCGAGAGCAAGATTGTATCTAATCTGTGGTATTTGTGTTCTTCATCCAAGTTACCATCTAAAGAACACTTTATAGCGTTGAGTTTTGTTAAATTTAAGGAAAATGATCATTGCATGGACTTGTGGCTCAGTGTGGCCTTAAAAAGCTGAAAACCGTATTAGAGATTGGAAAAACATAACTCTATTTACCCGAATTGAATTCTGGTGGTGTTCTTTTAACATCTTCGTTGCTATTGGTAGCCTGGTTTAATAACAGATCTAATAGTTCCGACCTAAAAAATACAGAGAATTCCGGCGTTAAATAGGAGAATAAATTATATAACTAATACCACCATCCCTTTATCATATAGATCGCAAATGTCCGCCACAATGATTTAGAACTTTGTCCCATTTCACCAGCATGGATGTTTCTGGATTTTACGTATATAGTATCATAGTTGTAGCGGGTGTGGCACACGAGGCAGAGCATGTATACTCTTTATGAACACGGTACGTCCATATATTATTCCAGTAATTGTATATCGGACTTTCTGGATTATAACATTTGCTTCAGTTTAAAATATTATAAAAAGCTTTTTCAATGTATGTATATCGTTTTATTAACCAAATCAGTCTAGAGAACGGTTTAAAATTATCAAATGAATATTAGACTGTTATAAAAAAAAATATTCGTTTATAACACTAACTAACAAGTTAATGTAATCCAATTATATAGCAATTTGGCTAAAATACTTATCCAAATTTCGTTTCGTTTTTTTAATAACACCGCTTACCTTCGTGGATAAAAACGGAACGAAATAGATTCTATGTTTTAATCAGATAAATTATAATGACTCTTACAGACGGACTAAAATCCGAGATTGGTTCTACATAATAAATTTAATATTGTGAGGTAAATTGACCATATTGTTAAGTGGTTTATGACACCAAGTTTCCTAACCATTCGACAAAATACCGATTTTACATTAGTAGAGGTGAATCATATACAGTGGAGGTGGTAATAGATTTTCAAAAGGTGTAAACATGATTGTTAATCTTCTTTGAGCGGCACGAATATTAGTATACATATATGAAACCATAACGCCCAACTAGTTATAACCCATTATGTAGGAACAACCAATTTAGTCATAACTCATTTAGCTATTTTCTATGCTGATGCAGCGACAACCCTTTTAGTCATAACTCATTTAGCTACAACCCATTCTTATGTAACTGATTTAGCTACAACCCGTTTAGTCATAACTCATTTAGCTACTTAGCTACAACCCATTCTGATGTAACCGATTTAGCTACAACCCGTTTAGTCATAACTCATTTAGCTACTTAGCTACAACCCATTCTGATGTAACCGATTTAGCTACAACCCTTTAGTCATAACTCATTTAGCTACAACCCATTCTGATGTAACCGATTTAGCTACAACCCATTCTGATGTAACCGATTTAGCTACAACCCATTCGTATGTAACCGATTTAGCTACAACCCTTTAGTTATAACTCATTTAGCTACAACCCATTCTGGTGTAACCGATTTAGCTACAACCCTTTCAGCTATAAACCATTTAAGTATAACCCATTTAGTTAAAACCATTCAGTTACAAGGTACAAAATTTCTCTTTTTAAACACCCAATACCACTTCTCGCTTATCCATGGAAGTCACATAGCTAACAATTTATGTTGTTGTATTGTATAAAAGGTAAAGTTAGCACTGGTTTGACGTAGAAATAATACCAAGGTCAAGATAACTGTTAAAACCCAATGAACCCACCTTCTTGATACGCAATACATTGTTTTAATTATGGATGAAGATTCACAAAATTATCTAATCATGTACCCCCTCAGTCAGTAGGTTCAAATGCTTGTAATAATGAGTAATAATCTTAAAAGAAAAAAAAATTCAACTCCATGAATAAATTTCAGATGTTGTGAAGTACAGTTAGAGTATGGGGAAAATTGTTGAATTATTAACTACAAGAAATCTACAGATACTTGTAGTTGTGGAGAAAAGAAGGCAATTTGGTCTGTCCACTGTTCTATCTATTGCTCTATCCATTGTTCCATCAATTGTTATACCCACTGTTCCATCAAGTGTTCTACCATTTTTTTCTATCAAGTGTTCTATCCATTGTTCTACCAATTGTTATATCCATTGTCCTACCAATTGTTTTATAAATTGTTGTATCCGTTGTTCTATTAGTCGTTTTATTTGTTGTTCCATCCAATGTTCTATACTCTTGTTCTATTAACCGTTCTATTAATGGTTTATCTGATTGCTATATCAATAGTTCCCTCCATTGTTCTATCAATCAATGATGAATATTCCATCAGAGTTTTAACACAACAATAGTCCCTGAATAATCTTGACCTTATCGTAATTCCTGTTTTAACTGACACTAAAGATTTTTAATCTGCATGCAGCAAACCAGTTTTACAATTTATTTTAAAACAATGCTTGTTTTATTATGTGTAGTTAACGTTCACTAATATTTGTGTTTTAAAAGCATTAAGAGCTGACTCAGTCTGAAGTGGGTGCTCGTGGAAGGAATCGACATGCTAATTCACGCTTTTCAAATGAAATCCCCACTGATTCCATTTGAGAAAATCCATTCTAAACTTGATTAACATCCTGTCACCATTCAGGATGTAAAGAGACACATCACTGGGATGAACTGACAGTTAAAAATAGATCTGAATTGTTTCCAAGCACAATTCTATGAAAAAAAAACAAAAATAAAAAGATGATAAAATAAAACACTTTTAAAAATGTTCATGTTTAAAATCCACTTAAATCTGACTGTTAGACAGGTACAAATAATTAATCTGTTACTTAAATATTCGCGACTTGTTCTTAAGTGAAGTGTTTTAAAGAAAATGCGTTCAAGTAGCCCTTGGTGGCTGTTAAGTTGACGTCTCCTCGAAAATCAGAATGTGAAAAAGTCTGTAGCTTGTGTACGGTGGCTCGACGAGCATCATAGAAAACTAATAAAATCCCTAACACATTGAATATGGAAATGTGGCCAGTCGATTTAAGATGATTACAATTTCCGAGTTACCCCGCCTTGTCTACGAAACCGTGGTAACACTCCGATATGATCCAGCTTTAAGTATTGGGTAAACATACTGACCTAAGAAAAAGTTCATATTATCATAGAGATCTGGAACCGCGCTTGCCCAGTTCGTTAAGCTGGAGATACCGTGTTCCACTGTGGCGTTGGCCGAGAAGGTCCCCTCTTGCAGTGATGCATGACGGAGCCCCTGGCAAAGGTCAAGGTATAGTCGTTTGGATGGGACGAAAAATCGAAATCCTGTGTACACATTGGCGTGTACGTAAAAGATCCGCTTTCCGGGCAACGTTTCCCTCGTAGCACACTGAACAACGGGACGTTAAATCCCACTTCATTTTATATAAATCTGGCCTTAAGTTTGAGGCGTAAATACTGACACAACAAATACACAACAAATAAGTCATATTATCAAAAAATTCTATGTTCAAATATAAGGCGTGAATAAATGCAATAATAACCAGGCAATGTCGACAGATATGATGATAATGGATGTGTTTAAAGGGTTAATAGACTGTCAGTATAAATTATAAAATGATGAATAACTTCCACCAGTCAGATTATATTTACAAGTAAGTCTGCTATTAATTAGTTAACACAATAAGCACCAGGCGTGCCATGATTTATCTGAGTTGAAACTAATAACAACCCACAAAACTTACACAACAGGTTGTGTTGACATTCTACTGTTATAAGTATTTGATCAAAATGGTCCGTGGCTCAGTGAGATAGGCGCTTGCTTACTAAAATAGTGTTGGCCGAGAAAGTCCATCGGAATTTTCTAGCATGGTTTCCTCTTTTACTATTATGCTTTAGTTTTATCCTTAGATGATAATATTTTCATATCTAATTTATATTAATTGACGCGTAAATTATGGGTATTTCATTTCGGCTATAAACTCATTTATTGTTTGACCTCATCCTTGACCCCCGTATTTATGTGTATAACGTTTATATACAGATCATAAATAAACACCTGATTGACGGCTCATCAAATTAACCTCGTTATGGTTTTTTTTTTCTCATCAATGTATTAGTTTATAGTGGTCTAGAGTGTCACACTTCGAGCTCTAAATCATCGGCCAGCTCAGGCTTCCGGCCGCGGTTTACATGCCTGGTGTGAGTGTATGTGGCTTCGAGATAGGGTCGTCTTTTCAACCTTGTGGGTTTACTCCGAGTACTTCGGTTTCCGCCAGTTTAGCGTACGCTCAGATAATAAAACAAGACAACTTGTCTGCGATATCTCCCTCGTTGGAAGCGGGTGTTAAACACCAATAGAAGAAGAAAACGGCACGGTGATTCAGCGAGTAAGACGCTAGCTCAATAACCAGGGCATCCGGCAATCGATCACGTTGTTAACCGAGAAAGTTTTCCGAGAATATCTAGCTTGATTTTTCTTTGTCAGTGGTGCAGGACAGATGTCCTGATGAGGAGTAGTGTCTTGTCGTTCGAATGGGACAGACAATCGTGCATGTACAAGAACCCTTGATATTTGGAAATTGACATAAGAGTAGGACGTAATATTACCCTCATAGTACGCACGATGTATAGCGTATGGCCGTTTTCCTTAACCCAGTCGGTGCTGAAAGGGCAAGACGTTAAACCCCATTTCATTTCATTTTATTAGTTTCTATCCGGAGATAAACTATTAATTCACATAAATGTAACTATATTATTTTAAAACAAATGATTTAGATAAAAGATATCTTAATTAATATCATATGCTCATGAGCAATAACTTAAACACTGATGTACAAAATTGTTGATAGAAATAATTTAAATATTTTAGATATCTTAATCAATATCATATGTCCAAGTTTCCAGAATAAACGGCAAAATAATATTGACTTTCCTATCATAAACAACAAATAATTCCAATATCATATATCTTAATTATTAGCATATGTCCAATCTTCCACAAAAAAATCCCCAAAAAGTAGGACGTTTAACCCCATTTCATTTCTTGCACATTCCTTTCCGTTTCATATAGGGGACTTTTACGGTAGATTCCCATTCAGTATGTTCCAAGCATGCATTCTTGCTGCTCCCCAACCTTATTAAAATCCGATGCTATTTTAACCACTAAAGACATGTTTCTAAAAACGGCTCTGGACCTGTGACTCTAACATAATAATGCTTCTGGCCTTAATAACACCACCAATCAAGTGTCTGGATAATCAAAGCATTTGGAAAGTTTTCGCGAAAGTTCT